GTGAAAGACAGGTACCTGCTGTGGTCGATTTAGAAAACATGCCAGAAAGACAAACCTGGCTTGTGGAACCATACATGGCTTAATGTGATCACCAGACAGAGAACAACAGGTGCTGCGCTACATGCTTAGAATGACAATATTGGGGCCTCCAAGGTGTGTACAGGGAGAGTGGGAACGCTGGTTGAGGGCTGCCCCTGACTGAGGTGTTGTGTGGCTCTCTTGCCAGTATAAAACCTTCCATGAGGCTCAGAGCCATGGGTTCCAGTAGATTTATTCCTTCCCTGGAATTCAGCCCCCTTTGCTCTATGCAGGGCTTGAGGAGGAGCCTGTTGTTTCAGAAGCCAGTGACCTTTGAGGACGTGGCCGTGTACTTCACCCAAAATGAATGGGCCAGCCTGGACCCTGCGCAGAGGGTCTTGTACAGGGAGGTGATGCTGGAGAATTATGCAAATGTGGCTTCCCTGGGTAAGTCTTCCCTCTCTGAAACTCAGCTTCTACCCTTGGGGACTCCTAGATTCCTCCTTTTAGATCTGAGATCTCTAATACCACCAGGATTGATGCTCCATGAGCTGAGCTCCCTAATCCCATTTCAAGGAGTATCTGGATGGAGAAAGACTTGGATTCACTTTAGTTTTTAACAGGACTCCCCTCTTCCCTGATTCTTGGTGGGGACTTTACTGTGAGGGGCTTTGCTCTGGGTACAGAGAGATCTGAGAAGGTTCCTGGTGCCCCACTTTCATTCCTTCAGTCTTTCATTTCCCTGGAGGAGACCTTGGCCCCACCTCTATGTGTGAGAGACCTGGGACCCCCCTGTACATACCTCACATGATTGTGGGAGTTCTCTGGCCTCTCAGGTAGAGGCTAGAATAAACATCGAGCCTTTCCTGCGATTCCCCAGATTCTCTCCTCACTGACCCCACTTAGTCTCCTGGGCCATCTGCCGCTGCTTTTTTCACCCGGTGAAGCAGAGAGTAGACTGAGGGAGGACAGTGGTGACTCTCTGCAGCTTCCTGTTCCTTTTCTTTCTCCTTTAGCAGCATTTCCATTCCCCAAACCAGATCTGATATTCCAGCTGGAACAAGGGGAAGCACCAAGGGGCCTGGATCCCTGGACATGTGTCGGGGGAGAATCCCTGAAAGACATGTGTGCAGGTGAGCAGCAGAACCTTCCATCTTCCTTTCCAGCCTTGCCTCTCCTTTCTTTTAGCGATTTAAGATGAAAAAGCATTTTCTCCTGTCATAGGGCTGTTGTGGGGATGAAAATGGTCACTTTTATTCAAGGAAGTGTTACTCACTAGAGCTTCAGCTCCAAACTGGAAAAGACCAGTTCAAGCATTTCGTTTTCTGTCATTTTTCTTTGTAAATCTAAAAGATTCAAACTCTCGTAGTGAAAATAGGCTTCTGTTGGTTAATTAGGAATATAAACACAATATGGTAAGAACTTATTTTCATAACGTTTTGTTTGTGTTAGGTGTGTGTGTATGAAACTGTGCATGAGAATGGAATTTTTCTGAATGCCTGCACACTGAATTATAAGTTAGCTTTTGAAAAAAAGAACTTTTTTATGTATTGGGAATGAATGGTTTCTTTTTGTGTGTGAGAGACGTTGAGTTGAGATAAATGTAAAAAAAATCCAGAGATTTGGTGTGTAGCCTTTCTCATTCAGTTTCCCTGTTCTCATATTCTCCTAATCCTTTATGCTATTTAGAGACTCTGTACATCAAGTGCCCCTTTCTAATTCCCCCCACTTCTGTCTTAATACCTTTGACTTTAGCACTTCAGGTTGTCTTGATGAAGCACCTTTCCCAGCAGCTTTCCTGCAGTTGTCGGTATTTCCCTTTACTGCAACTGCATGTTGTCTATTTAGCATGCCAAAGGCTTTAAGCCAGCATTGTTCAATAGAACTTTCTACAGTGACGAAAATGTTACATATCTGTGCTGTCCAATATGGTAGCCAGTAGCCACATAAGCACTTGATGTGTGGCTAGTGCAACTGAGGGACTGAATTTTTAATTTTATTCCATTT